GCGCATCTTTGCACCTACGGTCCTGCTGCCCGGTGGCCGCAGTGCGAAGCCGCCCCCTCGCCTCCCTTGTAGGATGGAGGGAAGCAAGGTGCACGTGTGTTGCGCGTCTAAGCCCCTGGAGAACAGGACCGTGGGCGCAAAGATGAGCTCTGATAAGAAACTGAAACCTAGAAACTCGTCCAAATAAAGCATTTTTACAGAACGCATCAAATGCTACCCCTGCATTATATCCTTCTAAAAAGTGTTGATTTTGTGGTTTTCAGTGACTCAGCAAGTTTCTATTAGAAACCATATTTTCATTTTCACTAATTAAAAAGTTAATTAACAAATTGTATTTAATTACCAGACTGATTGTTACGACTAGGTCCCTATACTATGTACGCCTGGCCGTATAACTCGCCTGCACAAATCGCATTAATTTAGCTTTCACGAACTTTCTAGACATATATGTAAAGCTTAAAGCTAAATCGCCCTCTACAACAGTGAAAAGGCCAACCACCACGTTGGACCCATATGGCTCCACCATGCAGGTATCGCCTTTTCGCTGTTATAGGATGTCCCATATTATGTTATGCATGTATGGTTCCGCCCGTCTATATGGTTCCGCCGTAATCCACTACGCCGGTATAGAATGTCCCATAATACGACACGCTTGTATGGTTCCGCCTACCTGTATCATTCCGCCTTAATCCACTATACTAAAGCTGCCTTTTCGCTTGTACAGGATGTCCCATATTACGGTTACGCTTGTATGAGCCTTTTCCATCATCTTTCCATCATCGAAATTTTCCAACAGTGGAGGAGGTTACACTAAACTCCGCCTCCTCGAAGGGGGGGGGGGGGGGTCGCGGATGTAAACTTTTCGGCGTCGGCAATGGCAGACGTGCTGTACCAGCTGTAGCTATAGCCGTGAGTCCTTCGCGTGGTTTCTGGTTTAAAAAAAAAGAAAAGAACGTTCCGCTTCTGTCCTGTGTGATTTAAAGGTCGGCTACGATCAGGCGCTGTACAAGGGGCAGTGTTACCAGGGGAAACAAAAACGTGCTGAGTCTTAGGATGTTGTGGGCACATTCTCGACGGTGTTCTGGGAGGATATACAGATTGAAAGCTCTTTCTCGATTCGGTGGATGGCGGTGCATGTCCGTTCTTAGTTGGTGGTGTGATTTGTCTGGTTAATTCTGATAACAAACGACACTCTATCCTATTAGATAGGTGCGTGGTTCTCTGCAAATTGCAAACTTAGAGGGACAAGCAGCTCCTAGCCGCACGAAAAATGAGCAAAAACAGGTATGTGATGTCCTTACATCCCTGTTGGAAAGTCTCGATGATGGAAAGATGACGGAAAAGGCTCATACAAGCGTAACCGTAATATGGGACATCCTATACAAGCGAAAAAGGCGGCTCCAGTATAGTGGAATAACGCGGAACGATACAGGTGGGCGGAACCATACAAGCGTGGCGTATTATGGGACATCCTATACCAGCGTAGTGGATTAAGGCGGAACCAAGTAGGCGGACGGAACCATACATGCATAATGTAATATGGGACATCCTATACCAGCAAAAAGGCGATACCAGCATGATGGAGCCATATGGCTCCACCATGTTGGTTTCACCTTTTCACTGTTGTACAGGGCAATTTAGTTTTAAGCTTTACATATATGTTTAGAAAGGTCGTGAAAGCTAAATTAATGCGGTTTGTGCAGGCGAGTTATACGGCCAGGCGTACGTAGTATAGGGACCTAGTCATAACGATCAGTCAGATAATTAAATACAATTTGTTAATCAACTTTTTAATTAGTGAAGATGAAAATAGGGTTTCAATTAGAAACTTGCTGAGTCATTGAAAACCACAAAATCAAGTTTTTTTAGAAGGATATAATGCAGGGGTAGCGTTTTATGCGTTCTGTAAAAAGCTTTATTTGGACGAGTTTCTAGGTTTCAGTTTCTTATCAGAGCTCATCTCTGCGCCCATGGTCCTGCTCCCCAGGGGCTTAGACTCGCAACATACGTGCGCCTTGCTTCCCTTCATCCTACGAGGGAGGCGAGGGGGCGGCTTCGCACTGCGGCCACCGGGCAGCTGAACCGCAGGTGCAAAGATGCGCTCTGGTAAGAAACCGAAGTCTGGAAACGCGTCCAAATTAACCATTTTTTTAGAACGCCATAAAATGCTACTCTTGTCTTATATCTTTACAGAGAAAATTGATTTAGTGTGTTTTGATGATGCTTAGCAAGTTTCTAATTGGAACCATGGGTCTATTTTCACTGATTAAAAATTTCACGAACATACTATACTTAGAGAGAGGCTGAAGCAGTTTTATATTTGGGAAAACACTCAAATCTTCGTCATTCGACCTCCAGAATCTCAAATATCAAAATTATTTGCTAATTTAATTAATTGAGGCTGCATAGTCATTTTTAAAGCGCTGTGAAAGCACTTTCCTACAGAGCGACGTCACAAGAGCAGCTTTCAAAATCTTTGTTCACGCATCTTCAGCGCCTATCAAAGCTATGCACGCACATGCTATTTTTTAAAAGGGCAGAAAAATGTGTCACGACTGGTGCCAATGCCGGAGAATATACCTAGAAAACTTGCGATTGGACGCTCGGCCCTTAAGCGACACACGCTTGGCGGCCGAAAGGTCTTCTTACGATGTCACTGTTGGTTGGATGTTTTTTTGTGTTTTCTCACGTTTAGTTATATCTTTGAGGAAAACGAACGGGATATTCAGATTCGCGGGATAAAACTACGCTAGAATGAACCTCCATCGAGTTTTCTGAAAGAAGTCTGGCACATCTCTGTAATAAGCCGACTGATCATCACAAATTAGCCTTTTATACTATGCCGCCCTGGCCATATAACTCACGTGCACAGACCGCGTAAATGTAGCTTCTACGGCTTTTTTAAAAACAATATGTAAAACATAGAAAAAACACTCTGTACCCTATTGAAAATATTTCCATACTCGGCATACTGGGCCAGTATCAAACCGGATTATTGGACGGGCAAACTGGGAATACTGGTAGTGGTTTTACTGGGCATACTGGGCCAGTATCAAACTGAATTATTGGACGGGTATACTGGATGCACTGGAAATACTGGATATACTGGGCATATGATAAAACCAGCCATACTGGTCACACAGGTACACCGGTTTCACTGGTGAAAACGGTACAACTCGTACCTGAGACCAGTACAGCCAGCTTCACCACACTGAAAACTCAGGCTACAAACTATCACAACGATTTTATTTGCATAGAAATTTTAACCACTCCTTTAGTGGTTTTAACAATAAAAAATGGTAAATACAAGGCTGAATAACTAACTGAAAATAGTCAGCCAAGAACCAAGTGTCTCGTATATTGAAGGCACCATGGTGCCTTCAATATACGAGACACTAACTAGAAAGAAAAGACTGACTAGACAATAAGAACATTCAGCGTGTGGCGCAACATAAAGTCCTAAGGATAACACAGTTTCACCTTCCATCCGAGCACAGGGGGGAGCTATGAGTCACCCCAGGCAATCCAGCGCTGGGAGGGTATCACGTAATGTTCTGGTTGGGCAGAGATCAAGGAAACATGGCGCTCTCTCAACGGTGGATTGGCTGGGGTGGCTGGTAGCATCCGCTGCGCTTGGAGAGGAGGTGAAACTAAGTATAAAAGAGAATTTAAAAAAAAAAAAAAAAAAAAAAAAAAAACATTCATGGTGCGGTCAAATATGCTCGAGGCACCATACTGTCGGTCAAATATGCCCGAGTAAAGATTAAAAAAGTCCGACTGTACAAGAAAAACAAAAAAAACATTGCATGGTGCCTTTATTATGCCCGAGGCACTAAAGAAGATAAAAGAAAGTCTAAATACTAGTCATGACTCAACATGGGCTGGAAACTGGACTCTCCCAACTGTGGGTTTGCTGGAATGGACGTAGCGTCCGCCACACTTTGACAGAAGGTGAAACCAAATATAAAAAAGAATTAAAAAAAACATTCAGGGTGTGGTGCAACGCCTGTCTGTCAAATATACCCGACGCACCACACTGTAAAGATTAAAGTTTAACTACACAAGAACGAAAAAAACCATTGCATGGTGCTTTCAATATATTCGAGACACTAAACAAGATAAAAGAATGTGACTAGACAATAAACACATTCAACGTGTGGCGCGACATAAAGCCCTGACTTTAACACATTGTTTCACCTTCCGTCCGAGCGCAGCGGAGGCTACAAGCCACCGCAGCCAATCCAGCGTCCGGATGGTATCACGTAATGTTCTGGTTGGGCGGAATTCAAGGAAACGTGACACTCTCTCAACGGTGGGTTGGCTGAGATGGCTGGTATCATCCGCTGCGCTTGGAGAGAAGGTGAAACGAAGTATAAAAGAGAATTAAAAAAAAAAACATTCATGGTGCGGTCAAATATGCTCGAGGCACCATACTGTCGGTCAAATATGCCCGAGTAAGGATTAAAAACGTCCGACTAGACAAACACTAAAAATACTATTGAATGGTTATTTCAATATACCCAACACACTAAACAAGACAAAAGAAAGTGACTAGACAATAAAAACATTTGTGTGGAGCAACATAAACCCCTAAAGCCTTCCATTCGAGCGCAGCGGATTCTATGAGCCACACCAGGCAATCCAGCGTCCGGAGGGTATCACGTGATGTTCTGGTCGGGGGGAGCTCAAGCAAACATGACTCTCTCTCAACAGTGGGTTGGCTGAGATGGCTGGCAGCCTCCGCTGCGCTTGGACAAAAGGTAAGATCAAGTATAAAATAATAAAAAAAACAAAAAACATTCGTGGTGCGGTGTGACGCCTGTCAGTCAAATATGCACAACATAAAAACATGAAGGTAAAAAATTGCACTAAAAAAGAATAAAAGAAAAAAAAATTCTTCGATTAGAAAAGCGCCAGAAAACAAGGACAACAGGAAGAATAGACGAAACGATGCGCTGTTGTCCTTGTTTTCTGGCGCTTTTCTAATCTAAGATAAACCAACTTGCCCAACTCAACATTCTTTTACAGAAAAAAATCACTCTGCACTGCGGCACCTGGCAGGGCGGCCCAGATCCGAAAGAAAGTTCGTCATTGTATTGTTAATCTGTCGCAGACGGACAGCATGGTCTTCTTGGGGGTTGGCAGCCTCAGGGTTTGGGTGGTGGTTGATGTAGTAGCTCAAGGCGTCTGAAAGAAAATTGGATCAATAGTTACTAGTTAGAAGTAATGTAAGACCCGCATAAAATCAGAGTTCTTTTTTTTCATATTTTGCCATGTAAAATTTGCGGCCCGTATTATACGCGGGTCCCAACAATTTTCAGCTTCAATGAGGCGCGATCTAACGCAGTTTGACATAGTTTCGGTTTCAAAGCAATATGGTGTTCAAAATAGCTATCATCCCCATTGAAGGGTTAGGGAAACGAAATTCCAGTGCTTATTTTCTAGCTTGAATGTGTTGCATGTTGCACCCTAACCCCAAAAACACCAGTCTTCCGTTGAAAGGCACAAGAAAACTAATTCTAAAGCTAAATAAACAATCTTTCAATGTGCACCTGGTGGATGCATGCGGAGCCTATTTGGGAGCTAATCTGACAATGTTGGGGAACTTGCTACGTACTCGTAACATAGCAGATTCCCTCGGAGCAGCGCCGCCCTTTGGAATTACAACATTTTCCCTTTTAGCTTACCACCTAGCTCAACTCACATATTGCGTATTGTACCAAATGGTCGAAGGGGAAAGAAAGGGAGGACTCCCCTCTTTCTTGGACCCTCGTTCGTGCAACCGGAAACAGCCATTCTCCCCACAGAAGATTAGCCAGTCCCTCAAAACACAAATGTTACTTTCCCCACCCCGTTCAGCCCTAAGCTGACAGTGTTGTGGAAGCTACGTCCTCCATGGGCCAGTCACATGCTCGGTTGTAACGCACCGACGCTATTGACACCACCAAAACTCTGACAATGCCACCAAGGGCAAAGCTCATAACCACGCCTGCCTTGCTACTCCATGGACGCGAGAAATCTTTTCTTTCTGTTTTTGTTTGCACCGGATATCCCGACGCATCGCGCTCTCCATTCGCTTCTCTTCGAGCGCTTGCTCGAGTGCACCGTTTGGAACGAACAATATAGCCAGTCATTCAAAATACAAACGTGTAATTATCATTTACGGTTATTATCCGTCATGCTTGACTCATTTCCAAACGAAATCTGAATATTTAAATTTTTGTTTCCGTACCCCTTTAAAATAGCAATGTCCGAGGTGCCACCATCTTCCGCAGTCAGGCTAGTTTTCGGGCCCGACGGTCCGAAAGCAACACTCTGCTGCCTTCAAAAGAAAAGTCATTTTGGTTGTGGAAGACATCGGCAACAGTGCTGCCGGATGACAATTCGCCATAAATGAAGGCAGCATCACCCGATGAGACGACAAACGCAAGCTGATCGCGTGCAACGAAACGAGAAGCTTTAGAGGCCCAATGAATGGAGTGTTCGCCGACGTCGAGGCACATCTCAGCGACTTTGTGAAAGAGCAATGTAAATGGCACCTTGCTGTAAACATCGAGCTGCTGCATGAGAAGGCGAGAGAACTTTGGCAAGCCGACCCCCCACTGTGTTGCTTGCTCTATTCGCCGCGCCAAGTTTTCACTGCATCGGCGCACGCTCGTCTCTCGCCCTTTCAAGATGTGCGGGATTTCAGATGCACTTGACGGCACCGAAGCTGAAGACGACTGCCTTTGGGAAGAGGCGTCGAACAAGGAGTCTCATGGAAGTGATGACAGTGGTTGAGGTTTGATTACGACACAAATAAACATTTTTCTTAAAGGACACATGCAAAGGAAAAAAACATTTCTTGTAAACAGGCTAGATGGAAAAAGAATATTATAAAACGAATTAAAAACAAAGAAAAAAAATTTAGCTATATTTACGGCACAAAACGAATTTGTATCTGGCACTCGCGGGTCAAAGTCACGCTGCCGCCGCCGCACGCTGAGCGTTGTGCGACGCCGCTTCAACGCGTTTCTCCGCACCACCGTCTCTGCACAGCACACAGGTCTATCACGTCGGCTTATGCTTTTCCAGGGATTTCCTTTGGGCTCTAGAAGTTTACTTATTAACCTTACTTTTTTGTTATACTTCAAACAAAGATGAGTAAGTTACTTTTAGAGGCCATAGGAAGCTTCCGAAAGAGCACAAGCACCACGTGATAAATATGGGCCAGTCACGTGATAAGTAAGGGCCATTGTTCCGCGGCGCCAACTATAAATTCGTATAGCGCCGTAAATATAGCTCTAAAATTTTTTTTTCTTCGTTGGACTCTCAATTTGTTGTGTGGACTAATTGATCTTAAAAACTAGGGATGTCGCGAACCACCCTAGGTTCGATTTCGAAAGGTTTCGATATTTTCGAAGCGAGCTGAGGTTCGATTTCGAAAGGTTTCGATATTTCAGACCGTACGGAAGTTCCAATTCGAAAAATTCACAACTTTCCAATATCGTGGGGTTTCGAATTCGAAAAGTTCGAAGCTTTCACGGTTTCTAAAAGTTCGGGTTTGATTATTTCGAATATTTCTTTACTTGATGTTCGATAAATTCGAAGATTTCGAACTTCCCTAATTTGAAGTTCGAAAGATTCGAATTTCTTTGGATCTGAAGTTCGAAAACTTCGAACGTTTCGAATTCTTAAAGAAGTAAAGTTCGATCAATTCGAAGATTTCAAATTTCTTTCTACATAAAGTTCGAAGGTTTCGATTCTCTTTTAGAGCTAAAGTTAAAAAAAAAGAAAAAAACTTTGAAGGTGTTTTAAATTTTTTTGAAGTCCGAGTGCGCAAAATTAGAAGTCCGGTTTTCATGTTCCGCCAAAGTTTCAGTTTCAAATAATGTTTTCACGCCTCACTGGTTTTCACGAAATCAGGTTTAGAAAAGTTCGGGTGTGATATTTAAACTGTGCGAAGTTGGTCAGGCAACTAAATAAGACGACGAGTGTCCCGGACGTGCTGGAATATTTTCCAGTGCAGAGTGACATGTGACAATAGATCAGTAATCGTGACCGTCAGCCCGGTGTGATCATTAACGTGCATCACGAAGTAGTGATCCTACGAACGCACCGTTTACCGATACTCATACAGTTCGAAACGGCAAGGGGCAGGCAGGTGATTGAGGCTCAGAAAAACCTTGAAGTGATCTGGCAAAATGTCCCCCCTACTCCCTTGCACGCTGGAAGTAATCCGATCGAACGCCGCCCGATTGACACTGGCATATAGTGAGTTTAGTTTACACATGATGCAAAATCTTGAAACTGGGAATGAAATTCGAAAGAAAAATTGTAAGACAGAAAGAAGGGGACAGGACAACGTCTCATACTGAACTCTGGGAATGAAATTTGAAAGAAAAAGTGTCAGAAGACAGAAAAAAGGGGACAGGCCAACGTCTCAAACTCACCTCAGGACAGTGTCTCAAACTCAACTCAGCTGAAAACTCAGCTCAGCCGAGTTTGAGACGTTGTCCTGTCCCCTTTTTTTCTTTCTTCTTACACTATTTTTTTGCGAATTTCATTTCCAGTCGCGGGATTTTGCATCATGATCAACATACACCAGCTCGCCTGCACCTTGACAATATTTTTGCTTGTAATTGCTTTGGAGGTTTATTTTTTGGCACGGAAGAAACGCCACGGCGAGCAAAAAGCACAAAAGCTGACACAACTTGAGGTCGAGGAGCGTTCTACCATACCAGTGGCGTCGGAAGAGGAAGAACGGGGGGGGGGGGGGGGGGGGGCGCTCCAGCCTCTCTCCCCCCCCTCCAGGATATTTAGGATTGTTAAAGAAAACAATACGGGGAAACAGGGCATAATCGAACTTATTTAGTCTGAAATTATTTATGCACATGTAGAGCTACTGTCGCTCTTCACTGCATAAAAGATCGCGTAGATGGTCGTTGTTGGAAACTGGTTTTCAGAAGGCAGTACTCGTCCCATGCTCGGTGGCTCGGAAGTTCAAAGCTATGCCTTTTTGACCTAAATAACTGTGCCATTGGTAATAAATAATGAATAATTAAACATAAAAATAAGTGCAAAAATAAAAAAAAAATTGGAGAAAAAAATACTATCAAGAACCCGCCGGAAGTGTTGTATTCTTGCATATTCAGGAGGCCCAGAACTATGAAACAAATTTCTCCTACCAAAATCTGTACAGGCCAGAAGAAACACGTCCCGAAAGCGTAAAATGAGAAAAAAAAATTATGACGTGCTGAACTTGAAAAATTCTGAAAATCTTCCCCCATGAGATAATTTATTCCTCAACATGAAAAAAAAATATATACATTATTTTGTATTCTGTAGATGGTAATGATATGTAGTGCCTCTCGTGTTAATTTAAATACGATACCTCAAACAACGTAGGCGAAAAAATTACCAAGTTTAGGGCATAATTGCCCGTAGGTACCATGTTTGGATATTTCTTCAAAACTCGTCTTGAACAGCAATAATCATATCTTAAGACGACACTTACCTAGGCTATACATAGATCATTCTTAAAAAAGTTTAACATCTCTGCCATAAATAGCTCCGGCTATGCGTGCTTCAAATATGACACAAACGACAATTGTGAAAAACCCGTCGTCCTTCGTCCCTTCGTCGCTCCTTCGGGAATCTATTTCTTTAAAACCAAGCATGCCAGATGATTGAAATAAACGGCATTGTCTTTCGCAAGGAATGCGGCACCACATGCAAAATTGGGAAAAAAAATTACGAATGTACCTCACTGCTTGAATCCAAATGAAACCGGCCGCCGGTCTTTCGAAGTTCGAAGAACTACGAACTTTCACCCTAAAAGTTCGAGTTCGAACTTTTGACTTTTCTGGAATCAAAAGTTCGACAATTTTCGATTTCTTTAGATTAATAGGTTCGAAAGTTCGAAAATTATCGACTTTCTCAGCGTAGAAAGTTCGAAAGTTCGAAAGGGTTCAAACCTTTTAGTGCAAGAACTTCGAAAGTTCGAAAATAATCGAATTTTTTAGTCTATCAAGTTCGAAAGTTCGACAAGCATCGAATTTTGCTGCGTCATAAGTTCGAAAAGCATTGAACTTCTCAGTTTAATAAGTTCGAAAATTTGACTTCGGTCGAATTTGTCCATATGGAAAGTTCGAAAATTCGAAATCGTTCGAACCGCTTGATTCGATCACCGAAACTTCGATTCGAAAAAAGTTCGCGACATCCCTATTAAAAACCCTGAATTTTGATACTGCCAGTTGCACAAACCAGACTGGTTTTTATATTTTCCTGGAATCCTTGGACAAGTTGTGTTTTCCTCTTCTATTTTGATTCAAACGTTTGTTCGTAAATGTCGCAGAAAGGTGTCTTCCTCCCCTCATCAGAAAAACGAGGTAGCCTCCCCATTATACAAGCTCTTGATGCTGGTGGCAGATTGAAGACAGAACAACAAAGTTTTGTTCAAGCATTTGAGAGTGCACATGATAAACACTATTCAAAAGCCACCTCTGCATCACATATCTAAATTCTGAAGATACACCAAAACACATAGCTTACTTTTTACTGCGGCCACCTTCCTTGGTGTGAGTGCTTGCTTTGCTGCGGCTCCAAGTTTGGCCAGGCGACGGCTGGCTTGGCCTGTCACGCTTCTTTGCCGCAGCTCTTCGATGGACCAGATGCACCGCATGAGATCTTTAGTGAATCTCTGGTCACTTGGCAGTTTCAAAAGGTGCGTCATTTTTGTTTCGGAGAGGTAGACATCGTCTCCCAGATGAATCTGTGACAAAAGGCACGCAATAATAAGGAAGGATTCTATGAAGAAAGCAGGATTTTGCAAAAATCATTTCGTAATATTGGTCGGTTTCAGGACATGCAATGCTTTAGTCACTCTAATGTTAAGGCCCGTTCACACGCTTGCAACCTCTTAGAACCGAGTGTCTTGGAACCTCTTAATCTCTCTTACGACAAGAGGCAGTCCAGCATATTTTCTAGTTCTCTTGTGCATTATCCTTTCTTTCTTGGCTCGAAAAACGTTTGTCAACGTTATAAACGAGCCTGGTATTACAAACATTTGACCTCGGAAATCCAAAACCTCCGCTCTTGTGAAATGCAGTTCCAGAGTCACCGCATAGGTGTCACCAGCATGCCAGTGTGCTCTCTTGTCTTAAGTAATTTTAAGAGGTTTCAACAGGTCTCATTTCTCTTGGTCGTACTCGAATGCAAGTGTATGAAAGGGCCTCAAGTAACCAAAACACATGATGTCAGTTCAGTCCTCTCTGAACTTTAGTGCTTATATATTAGTCACCGATGTGCACAGAGGGATTGGAATACTGATTAGTGCGCCAAGCGCTGCGAAGAGGAGAAATCTCGAGTCATGACAGATGCATGCGGCACCTGCCGCGGAGAGAACGCCGAGAATGTCAACACATCGCACTTCTCGTAAGAGCGAGCAGTAGCTATGCTGATCATTGCAAGGCATTTCCTCAGTAGATGCACGGAGTGCTGGCTGATTCTCCCCTTACAAGGACAATGAAACAAAAAATGTAAACCAGTCACTTACATTCCCTTGCCTGACTTCATAGAGTGGTCGCAGTGGACCCTGGACAGCTGCATTCAGCTGGTGTGCTGTCCATGAAATATAAAAGTGTGTGCACTGATGAGATGAAATGGTTAGCTTGATTTTAGGCAGAATTTACAGAAACTCCCTAAGGATTCACAAGTACTTGACAAAGCATAAGTACAGCCTGTTCAAGGCGAACTCCATTCAACCTAAAATGTTGGGATTACGACGAACCCACATTGGAAAGGACTACAGTAAAACCTCGTTATAACAAAATGGGATAGAACAAACTAATGGATATAACAAAGCAATCATAATTCCCCTTGCTTCCTAATAGCGGAAAGAAATGGACATTGGCTATAACAAACTAATGGTTATAACAAAATAATTATGACCGCTCCTTCAACTTTGTTATAACGAGATTTCACTGTATACTGTAAGTGGGGACAACTTTCTGCGGCTATGAAGTTAGGGGGGGCACTAAAGGAGGTTTCTAAGGTTGTTTTGGTGATAACTCACTTTAGAGATCTAGGCAGCCAAAAAATTACAAAAGCATGATCATGCGCAACCTGACCGAACGACACACGGTGCTCAACAGCTAATCACAACTGCTCGCTTCCCACATGTATTTACCATATATGTTAGTGTCCCAAATTAGCACTTCCTACGGCACCAGAAATTTGAATGACAGCATTCCGACTAACAAAAAAGCAGCAAAAACTCGTCATCACTCGCCAGCGCTAACAATATCGCGCTTTGTACCCAACTGCTTTCTATGAGAAAACAAACGCTGATATCAATATGTACAATCATCAGACTTTGATGGCTCGGTTTACCAAGATTTCCAGCTTCGCCATGAACAGGACGTTGAGGAAGAGCCGCTGGTGGGGCAGGGTGTTGGTCCAGAGGAGGTGCTGCCACAGGGATCGGAGCGGGGCGATCCAAAAGGGGGACAGCTGCAGGGGCAGGAACGGGCTCTTGATCCAAAGGGGGGGCTGGAACGTTGTGTTGATCCATAGGGGGGGCTGCTGCAGGGGCGGGGGCATTGTGTTGATCCATCGGGGGGACAGCTACAGTGGCGGGAGCAGGGTGCTGAGGCAGAGAGGGTGCCGCTGCAGGAATGGGAGAAGCAAGGAGTAGAGCTGCCATTGACACGAGACCAAGGGAGGCAGCTGATGCTAGAGCACGCGGAAAAGATGGAGACCTATTCATTAATTTCGATCATTTAAACAAGCTCCTGGCTTTGAAGAACCTCAGCATCTTTAGAATGCCTGAAAACTGTATAGCTGAAAGATGCTTTATGGCCTTTACTGATTTAGCCTCCAACATCCAAAAGCGTGGCCTTTAATCTTCCCTGCGACATCAGAATGTCAGTAACCCAGACTTACCCGAGTACGACGCAGAAGCAAGATCAGACCCATGGCGGCTGTTCGAAGCATGACGACCTAGAAAGTAAATACAATAATTGGTTCCTGGCTTTGCAAAACCTCAATATCTTTAGAATGCCTGAAAACTGTATAGCTGAAAGATGCTTTAAGGCCTTTACCGATTTAGCCTCCAACATCTAAAAGCGTGGCCTTTAATCTTCCCCGCGGCATTAGAATGTCAGTAATCCAGACTTACCCAAGTGGGACGTAGAAGCAAGATCAGACCCATCGCGACTGTTCGAAGATTGATGACCTAAGGAGTAAATACAATTATTGGCTCCTGGCTTTGCAGAACCTCAATATCTTTAGAATGCCTGAAAACTTTCTAGCTGAAAGATGCTTTATGGCCTTTGCCGATTTAGCCTCCAACATCTAAAAGCGTGACCTTTAATCTTCCTCGCGGCATTAGAATGTCAGTAATCCAGACTTACCCAAGTGGGACGTAGAAGCAAGATCAGACCCATCGAGAATGTTCGAAGCTTGATGACCTAAGGAGTGAATACAATTATTGGCTCCTGGCTTTGCAGACCCTCAATATCTTTAAAATGCCTGAAAGCTTTCTAGCCGAAAGATGCTCTATGGCCTTTACCGATTTTGCCTCCAACATTCAAAAGCATGGCCTTTAATCTTGCCCATGACATTAGAATGTCAGTAATCTAGACTTACCCGAGTGTGATGTAGAAGCAAGATCAAAGCCATCGCGGCTGTTTGAAGCTCGACGACCTGAAAAGGAAATACAATTATTGATTAGCGCATGAAAAGACATGCTCTGAAGAGCAATTTACCAAGGGACACTGCAGCTCCGTTCTGTGAAGCCTTCTTACGGGCCACTTCTGCAAAAAATGGAAGTAGAAGCAATAGAAACACTGTTACACAAACAAAATCCATAAAACAGGGGTAGGACAGAAAAAAAAATTATTTTGGAGTAATTTTTGGACGAGGAAAATTTGCGTTTTGCAGCAGCTTAGGACCAAAATATCCCACATTTCAGAACAGAAAGCATTGAAAACGCAGCTTTGATTATGGCCACTGCGCCCCAAATAAGTGAGCTTGACCACTGCACTAGAAACGCTGACCATAACGGTAAGTTCAAAATGGCATCACCGTCCATATTTGCAAATAGGTTAAAAAAAGCATCAATATTATGCAGTAAAACCCAGCAGAAAACAATGATTTGGGAAAATGTAACCATTAAAGGGGCTATGACAGATAGATTATTCTTGATATGGAATGCTCATAGGCTACTTAGTAGATACACCAATTGTGCTATTTTTAGAGCTCTGGTAATTGCAATAATCGGTTTATAAATTTTTATCATTTTCATCTGGCGACCAGGCAACACTGCACAAGTTACTCACACCCATGGCGTCCATAAACCATGTGATCATGAACGCTCTCTCATTCAAGGCGCCCCCATGATCGCCCAAGCTCTCCCTCGCCGCGGCACAATCAAAACCGCTCACGCAGCACGGTAACCGACACGCTATTCTTGCTCTCGGCCCCGGCCCGTTCACCTTCCACCCTGCAAGTGCCTGCGAGACATTCTAGGACGACGGTGACCACGCCGAGTTCGTCCATAACTCGCATCTCTGGAGCTGGTCGTCAGCGGGTTGCAGTCAAAATGAACAGCTTCCAACGTCTCTTGATAGCAATCACCCTCATTGCTGCTGCGGTCAATGTCGAACACTTTGACAAGGCGAGCAGCAATGCCGTAATCGTCACAGACCGTATGCTTGAAAAGCGGAAGGTAAACGAGGAAGCTGAAGCTCGAGACGCCATGAGAGCCAAGTCTGTGAGCTTGCGCAAGGGGACGCCGCGTGGGAGGCTGGTGAAGTCACCAGCCTCCCAGCCAGGGTGGCATTTTCAAATAGGGCGGGTCCGAGGGACCCGCATATAAATCGATTCATCCACGAAACTAACGCGCCACTCTCAAAGCAAACTTAGGAGGATTATAGAAACATACAAGGGGTCCTAACAGTACAGTTATCTCATTTTATTTTTGGCATCTCATAACCCCCTAAAGGTGTATCCACACGACGGACCAAATTGCTGTTTCGGTCCGCGGGCCGCGCATTACGTGATCTTACGTCACCGGTTTTCGAGGTCCGCCGGCGGTCCGCGGACGGCGCTTCTGAGAAATGCCAAGTGACTTTTTTCGCCCGAACCTTGGCGGCGGACCGCGGCGTTTTTAGTATAATTGAAGTGCCAAGTCTGGCAACAAGCTGACTTTTGTTGTTTGGACTGGAATCCAAATCCCATGTCGTTTTCTTTAGGCGCCAACTGGTGAAGACGAAGAAGACCAACCTTTTGTTGTGCTTCGATGGCGGTATGGTGTGACGATGCAACTTTTTACTTAATCGCGCTCGTGGAGCAATTCCCCGCTCTGTGGGACAATAGATGCATGCCCTTTCCGGTTCACTTAAGTCCTCCACGTCCTCAATAGTCAACGCCAGGGCCACCGCGGCCAAACGTCCCTTTCGTTCAACCTCCATCTTGGCTCCTTACAAATAGCCGCAAAGCAGCTCGCTGCATGCGTTTGGCGGAGCTGTGAGGTCGAGGGTTAGTCTGGCCCGTTCGCTCTGTCAATCTCTTTTGGTCCGCCGTGTGGATGCTCATTTCAGCCGGGCGGTCCGCGGGCCGCGCATCACGTGATCAATCGGTCCGCGGCCCGGTCCGTCGTGTGGATACACTTTAAGGGATGTCGAACCGAAATCTGGATTCCACAAAACATACAGCAAAAGCGTGCAATGGGATGCTACAAACACAAAAACATCACTCATCAGCAATATATCTAACCGATGACTGTATTTAAAAAAAAAAAAAGGCGTACTTGACAGAAATGTTTACGTCTCTTTTCTCCGAGGAGAGGCAACGGCCCTCGCGTCTTCACCTCGCCACCTTGAGGGGGCAAAGCGAAGAGAGGAGGAAACAAGATATCTTCACGTCACGCGCCTCGTCGGCCTGGTTCAATCTCGGCCTCTTTTTCCAAAAATATGGCCGTCCATTCGAGATATCGCCCAACGAGTAATGTTGTAGTGATTGTAGCGTCCAGACCTACATCTGCATTTTTTTTTTAATCCAAATTTTGGTTTACGATCCCTTAAATGATATTGAGGAATTTCAGATGAATTTTATATCGGACTGAGTTTGATGGCCATACTAATGCAGAATTTTAAATTAGAGTTCTGCATTTCTTTAAATAAGCATTTGACACAATTAAGACGAAAGAGTGTCAAGAGAGCAAATAGTTCAAAGCCGATTGGGCTAACCCAAATACTGCCCGCACCTTGCTGCTCCTAACACGGCAATGCAAGGCAGCAAAGCCCACTAAGCATGAAGGCCGTGACAGTGTGCACAGTGGTTAAGAGATAGGCAAGAAACGATTTGTAATTTCCCCCAAGTGCCCTGGCGCACATCCGACCAATAGACGATTTGCTATTTTCCCAAGCGCCTTGGCCCGCGCGCGAGGAATGGTGGGGAGACTGTCCCTCGCCTGGCCGCCCTGCCTTGAGATCGCATTGCCTCCTCTTAATCCTCTGTTTTTCAATTCCATTACTTACGTTTATCTATTCAAGCACATTTTTTTACGGCTTCTAAGTGTTTTTATTCTCATAGTATTTGTGTCTTTATTTTTCCTTTTTCGACGAGAGTGCCAACGGACAACACGCCGCTTCGCGCGTCGTTCCCCAGGTGAGTACTACCGTTGCCACTGATTCCTATCGCGCTGTTCATTATAATTCAATTTGACCCGCGTGCAGTCGAGAGGAGCCATTTATAAACACCCGCGTGCATGTCATAGAGATAGGCAGAGGTCTGAATCAACAATCGCGACGCGAGAGCCCAGTACGCTGTGATTTGGCCGCCCGCACTCGCTCCGTTGACTCGGACTGTAGCGTGTGCCTTCGAGTGCCGCTTGCTTGACCAAGATACAGCACGCCGCTTTGTCGCCGCGGATCATTTGCCCGAATGCCTGCGAAACCGTAACACCATTCAGCATATCCAACGCTGCGGCGCCTGACAACTGCATGCAGTTGTCAGCACTTGAAAAAGGGTGTTTGCAACTGAAAACCGCTTAGCCTTAGCATATAGATCAGGGGTGGCCAAGCTGCGGCTCCCGAGCCGCATGCGGCTCTTCGCGTGTCAAAGTACGGCTCGCAACTCCCTCCCCTGTTCCCCCCCCCCCCCCCCCCCCCCCCCCGTTAAAAAGAGAAATGGAACGCGTTTTAAATCGAAAGACAGGTTGCGGGATTGTAGTCTTGTGCTACTGCTACCTTACGTACAGAGGGACTGCTTTTGACTCGGATAGATTAAAAGTAGTTCGAGTTCCGTTTATTTGTCTGAACAAAAGCCCCGCCCCCCCCCCCCCCCCCTACCCCCCCTTGCGGCTCTTGGAAGTTTCGTGGTTTTGTTTACGGCTCTTAGGCCGGGTCAGCCTGGCCACCTCTGATATAGATTAAGAAGGCATACCATAAGCGCCTGACAACTGCTGCAGTTGTCAGGCGCCGCAACGTTGCGTATGCCTCAGCTTCGCAAACGTTCGTACAAATTATTCGCGGCGACAAAGCGGCATGCTTATGTTGGTCAAGTAAGCGGCACTAGAAGGCATACGTTACAGTGCGAGTCAACGGAGCAAGCGCGGGCAGTCAAATCACAGCGCACCCGGCTCTCGCGTCGCGATTGTTGATTAAGAGCTCTGCCTACCCCTATGACATGTGCGCGGGTATTAATAAACTGCTCCCCTCAGCTGCACGCGGGTCAAATTGACCCAAAATAAGCAGCTAACAGCACGAAAGGAATCGGTAGCAACGGTAGTACTCACCCGAGGAACGACGCGCGAAGCGACATGTTGTCCTGTCGGCACTCCCGTCGAAAAAGGCAAAATAAAGGCACCAATACTATATATTTACAAGAAATATTGAACGCAGAAGAGAATAGAACCACTTAGAAACAAAAAAATACACTGGAATAGATAAAATTAGGTAATGGACTCGAAACACAGAGGATTAAGAGGAGGCAAGCGACAAGGCAATACGATCTCAAGGCAGAGCGGCCAGGCGAGGGACAATCTCTCCCATAATCCCTCGCGTGCGGGCCAGGGCACTTGGGGGATTTTGCAAAAGGTCTATTGTGGGAACAGCGTTTTCGTATGCCCAGTCCCCCGGCTGCTCTTCGATCAGATTGCCTTCCGTTGCCGTGCATGTCCTCTTTATCTTCGTTATTTAGCGTTAATTCTTTCTTTTCACATAATCTAGTTCATTATTTTCTTTTATATGTGTACTTATTTCGTTCTCCATGCCGTATTTTCCGTGCAAGATTCGCTCTTGTGTGTACATTTTGTCGCCTTCAAAACGAGTGTTGAGGGACGCCAGGCTGCTTCTGAAGCGAGTATTACTGTTTTCACCATGCACTATCCCACCATTAGCTCACTTATCTACCTGCATGCAATGACCAGACAATAGTTTCAAAAACCAGTGAACATGTCACCACTGAAAAACAAAACCGTAATTGCAAAGCGAAGGCAACAGTGCTTGGATTTGGCCGTTTGCGCTCGCTGTGTGAAATGTGAACATATGACATCAGACTACTGTTTGCGTGCCCAATATGGAAGAGGCTGCTTTGTCATCACGAATAGTGCATTTGCACGATCCTTTCCTGGCTTGCCGCAGTTGCGATCTGATGGCCATGTCTGGACTGCGATTTTCGTAAACAGTCGTATCTTCACCAAAACACACCTCAGGAGCAGCGAAAGAGGCGGTTTGGCGTCCATCAATGCCCACGTCGAAAACGACAGAAAAAACATGCAAGAGCAAATCGTACACAAAAAATACAGTAGGCAGAACGAAATAAGTACACTTATAATCACGAAAAAAAGACTGAGTCAACAAACACCGTTCCCACAAATCCTAGGACGCACGCCGTGGCATCTGGGAAAATGACATTGTCTATTCGGTTGTCGCAAAACTCTCAATGGTGCAATACACTGTGCCGAGCCTCCAGATGCGTGCGACGAGTTTAGGCACATGCGCAGGAGATGTATAATGTCTGCAGCAAAGAAAAAACCCAATTCACGTGAAATGTTTCACTAGCATTTGTTGCCGGCTCATTTTCGTTATTTACTTCAAATGTCTCCTACCAAAAGGCAGGCATGTTTCTAGTTAGGGACAACATTTCTTGGAATATCACAAACGATGACGACATACGCACGACTATGACGCTCGTGCCCATAGCTTTTGACTGCATTGCCAAGAAAGGTGGTCCCCGAGTGCTCACTCGCCGCATCTTCCCTGGTGCTGGGGAATTTGGCACAGTCTAGTGGCAAAGCTGTCACACCCCTGATAAGACCGGTTCAAAGAAGCATACCAATCTTGTCCAGAAGGGCAAGGCCTAGCCGCCTGCTGTATTCCTTTTCCTCTCTCAAGCGCTTTCGAAGTTGGACAATGACTGCATTTTTTTGACGAAGTGACTTAGTCTCTTCATCACTCTCGCTGCTCTCTGACCTCGTTCTCTTCGTTCCCTGAAATGAGAATAGCAATAAGTGGGTTCTATGAGCGCATAAAAATTGTTTATTTAATTTTTTACTTATAGAGAACTTTAAATATTCCCAGGCTTTTTCACCTTGGAGGTTTCTGTCCTGTTGGAGTTGTGGTGTTCGCACAATTTCTTTTGAGCAATAAGCTGTGCTTGTTTTCCGTTCTTTGGGTTTTTTGAAGACGTCTGTGCACCCAATGGAAAATATTACGCCAATTACATTATTGTTTTCTAAAGGTTGACAAACAACTAGCACTTTGTGCCATGCAGAACACCCTTCTCCAATGTCCTTCTCTCTCATCTACTTGCACAATGTAGCCTAAAACAGTACGATGAGCCGATGCACAGGCTCCGAAATTTCTATTTCGTGAAATTCTATAAAAGGTGTCTTCAAACTTATGCCTCGATTTATTCACAACATCTGTAGTCAAGACAGTCTATGAAATATTTTAGCTCTATGCTCCGTTCCATACATAGCGTGCAACGCAGTCAAAGCTAGTGCACCGGTTTGCACTGCCGACCATTTGTACGTTTGCCCCATAAGATAGTGCTGCCCCTGTAAAAAAAAAAAAAAAGTAAAAAAATGTGCATCTTCGGAGCTAGTAACTGATAGCGGCGTTACAATTTCGACGAAACACCAATATATTTTTTTCTTTTCTTTTTCAATAAAAAGGAAAAGATAATGTTAACTACTTTAAATTGTTTTCCGTTTTCATTGGTGCGGCAGCCACTTCGGGCTTTTGGGTTGTGCGGCTGGCCCCTGCCTTGCCGGTTTTGAGAACAGTCTTACACAGCAAGCCCAAGTACCTCTCCTGCTTGGTTATTTTCAAAGATTCGTTGTGCGGAGATCTCGAAAGAGTGCGAACAGGTGAGCGCCAATGTGTACACGAGTACAAGAACAATTTTCCCGGAGACGTGTCAGTCCGTGAAGCCCTGGAGACTGTCAGTAACGACACCGGAGCGTGCGGCCATACTGTCGCGAAGTGCAAGGCACAGTGTCTATCTGGCAAGGTGGCGTTTCCGAAGCGAAGACCTTGCAACGTGAGTTTTGAGCACGTGGACCGTGTTGTGAACTGCCTTCAGTTATGTCTGGTGTTAAAATCGGCCTTATGGCTTCAAAGTGAAACAAGCCTTAAGAAGGAACCGCGCCGGTGATGAATAGTGCCTACGGCTCAGTTTGCTTGCAGGACCTTAAGGCCCGTTCACATTCTTTCAACAGAGTATGACCGAGAGAGATGAGATCTGTTAAAACTTCTTAAAATTTTTTAGGACGAGGGAACACACTGGCATTTTGGCGCCATCTATGCGGTGACCCTGGAACTGCGTTTCACAAGAGCAAAGGCTTTGCGGGATTTTTAAGGTCAAATGTGCGTAATACCTATAAGAACGGCTCGTTTATAACGTTGACAAAAGCTTTTTGGGCCAAAAAAGAAAGGATAATGCGAGAGAGAAATAGAAAACATGCCCGACCACCAAGTTTACACTTGTACCCAATGGATGGCACCAGTGTGTCCTCTTGTTGTAATAGATATTAAGAGGTTCTAACAAAACCCGATTCTAAGAGGCCACAAGAGTGTAAACGGGCCTTTAACCTTGGTTGGCTAGGCAGACAATGCCCGTGGCTGCATTTAGGTGCGTCTGGTTTCTTCTGCCTAAAGGCCCGTTCACACTCTTGCAACCGAGTACGACCGAGAAAGACCAGACCAATTTTTAAGCCTCTTGCGACCTCTTAGGACCGGATGCACTGTAATGGAGCTGGTCCTAAGAGGTCACAAGAGGCTTAAAAACCGGTCTGGTCTCTGTCGGTCGTACTCGGTTGCAAGAGTGTAAACGAAACTTTAGGGACCGTAACCTTGGTCGGCTAAGTGGACGACGCATGTGCCCGTGGCTGCATTCCGAGGCCCCTGCTTTCCTTGAAAAGAAAACAACACTCGACCCTGACCTCGAGTGCCATGTGGTGTGTACGCGTCTATTGTGAATCACTCTCAGTTCATGGGGCGCCGGCACCAGAGCAGCGAGAAACTGCCGTCTGGATGACTTCCATACACCAGCGCCAGCATTCCAACTCTTAAGAAAACTTGGATGAAGTCGCATCCCAGTATTCGTTATATAAAGGCCCGTCCACTGCACTCTCAAGGTACTCTCCGATTTTCACGGTATCATGTAAATAAACGGTTTAAGCAGACACCCTGGATCTCAACCATTCTTACGTTTTAATGGGGCCGGCACTAGGTTCAAGCGGAACACCAACCCCTAGTCTACTCCCTTATAAATAAAAAGAAACAAGAAAAGAGGAACTGACCTATGCACTTCCGCAGTGCACACAATCATGCACAAAAATTATGTAAAAAAAAAAAAAAAAAAAACTTACACGTTAAGTGGATTTGAGGTACCGCCACCGAGACGTCGGTATCGCCAGAGCAGTGCCTTTTACAGTTCGTCCCCGAAACGTGTAGAGTAACACATTTTTTAAATATTTTTTCATGTGCACTACTTCAGTACCTTTCCCAGCTTTGTACGCTATGTATGAAACTGAGTATAGTGAAAATCTAGGAGGCAGTAGGCAAGTTCTACCACGCAGTCCTGATGTTGGGCCGAGACCTAAACAAATATAAAAAAATTTGATTTGTAAGCTATGACTAATCAAGGCAGGAGTGACAGGCGGTACGCTACAAACTCCCTGACATCACTTGTACAGCAATATTTCAAAGGGATGGCCGTATTTTGGGAATGAAAGGGAGCAATTCAACAAGGCTGACGGGACATACTCTCGTCATGATTCTTCATTCCCTCTCCTCTTCGCTAAGTTGCCTTGAGAAAGTGAACCGAAGCGAGGAGAAAAGTGAGGCCGCTTCTCATTCTAAACTGTTCTGTGAGAATTGTGCCGCTCTTTGTCCTAATTACAGCCATCCGTCTGCAAGTGCTGCTGTGGGACGAATATTTCAGACACGAGCCTAATGTACTGCATTTGGGACAAGATGCTTGAAAAAAAGTGAAATTAGTCAATACATAATAATAATAAAAAAAAATTTCACTTAAAAAAATAAAAATCTGGAAACTTAGAATTTTACATATAAGCCAACTACTGAGTCTGCTCGGCTGGCTCAGAACAGATGCAGTGAGCAGCATTGGTGGCGTATGCAGCGCGTTGTCTGCTACTGAAGCTTAAGCGCGAAACACATGTACGACGGAACCGTCCGATCTGACGTCCGACCACGCAATACGACGGTCGGAGGCGAGGGTTTTCAAAGCTCTCCGATGCTACGAAAACCCTCGCTCCCAAAGTCATTCCGGCAGTCCGCACGTCGGATCGGACGGTTTCGTCGTACATGTGTTTCACGCTTTACTGCGTCTGCACTGAGCTTCCCGTTGCCGCAGCAGCTGTCAAAACGCGGAGCACCGTCCATCCATCAGCGAGTTCCCCCTAACAGTAGGTAGCTCTATACATTCCTACTGGCAAAGGCTTGCTGTATCAGCAAGCTTTTGCCAGTAGGTGGCACATTTCCATGTGCCAGCAGGCACATGGAAATTAAGCTATTTGAAACATGAACTTGCCTTCTGCATGGAGTCTCCAACTCCACCTTCAGGGAGGTTGTTGAGAATCCTTGGCACTGCTACTCTTGCCTTCTGCATTTTTTGGATGAGAAGTTCAACTGTCCCTGCGAAGATTGTGGGTAACGTGCCAAACCATAGCATTACTTTTGAAAATTAGAACAAGCAATCACGCACATCACATCGCCTCGCACTAGTGGAGAACATGAAAGCTTCTTATGTTCTGATTTCAAAACGTCTTAAGATGGAGTGACTCCATTTTTAGCACACCAGCTTACGGAGCCTTTACTCGACTAGAATAGGTGTCTAATAGAGAGTTCGTTTCACACGCACTGGCGCTGTTCGAGTTCTCTCCCAGAATGCATCGCACTCGCAGAGTGTTGCACGGAGAACTGGAATCAAACGAACTCGCAAGATGCACCGAGTGCAGAAAACCAAGTCCAGAAAACTGATGCCGCCGCCATCTATGTCATGGAAAAGGTACCAACCTCAAACCGAAAATAGCGTTTTTCTGTTCGGAGTCATGGGTGGAAATGCGAGAGTGCAGTCGCTACCAACGTTTATCTACAAACGTTGGTCGCTGCAACCTGTAGTTTATCATTTCGTCGTTTACCCTGAGACTGGGGGGTCTCAGGGTAAACGACGAAATGGTTGACTTCCACCAGCTAGCCTGTACTTTGACTCTTTTCTGTAGTTTATATTTGCGATGACTTCAAGCAACTGGGCCGTCGTAAAGATGGTTACAGACGGCGTAAATTTCCGCAGCCAGCTGTCTACAAAGCGGCTGGTTGCGATCTCTTTATAGCCGCTTACACTGAAGAAAACTGATGATGCTGTCCGAGCAGAAGCTTGACCCATTTGAGCATGGTATCATACGTGAACCACTGAAAGGGTACGGCTTAAAAACTTGTCTCTTGGAATATCCAGCAAAACTTTTCGTGGGACTTTCGATTTCGATCATCATTACAGGTGAATCAGATATCAGCCGTGGTGAGGCGTTGAAAAAGAGCTTTCTCGAACAAAATACGACGGGGTACCTTAGCTTACGTAGGGAAATGTTAAACATTTGTCGACAAAACACGAGTTTTGTCGACAAATGTTCAATTTTTCACCCGCGCACGGATGGTGATAAACATATCGAGGGCCGCTGATGCGTCTGTTCTGAGCATTTCTTTACACGCCGGTATATTTCAGCGTCTGTACGGCAACGGAGCGACTTAAAACCTGCAAATAAAGCACGGTTTGTCAGTTGCTTCCTTCATGAAGTAGCAGACGCTTACAATTCAAGCTCGCATTTGATTCCTTTGCCCGCGGGACCCGATTTCTATCAAAAAATCTACTTTTTTTTCCTTTCGGTTCCGCGACACATCGTAGCAGACGAGTCCTCGTCGTCTGCTCATCGCTCCTCGCCGGAGCGAGGCATGACGGGATTGCATTTTGGCGCACTCACGATTTCCTCGGTGCAGCGAGTGCATGCACGCGTGGGGTGTTGGCGATGAAACGAACTCTTAAGCGCGAAACACACGTACGACAAAACCGTCCGATCCGACGTCCGACCGCGCAATACGACGGTCGGAGGCGAGGGTTTTCAACGCTCTCCGATGCTACGGAAACCCTCACCCCCAAGGTCATTCCGGCAGTCCGCGCGTCGGATCAGACGGTTTCGTCGTACATGTGTTTCGCGCTATAGAGTGCAACCACTCGCGGAGTGCCGGCTGAAACGAACCCGCTCCACGTTGCGAGTGGGCACGCGTGGGCACGAGTGCCGTGAAACGAACTCGCTATAAAACATTTCATGCGTGAAGCTCATGGGTGGCGCTTCACCTTTGTTTTTGTTCCTCGAATGCAGCCTTCACACTAAAAAAGTACAGTACATGCATTCGTAACACCCGTTTTCAAATAGCCCGAATTACAGCTTTTGTGAAACCATATGCCTTCATTGCGCAAGTACTTGAACGATGGGGGCATTTGTTAGAAGTAAGGCGCACTTGTTCGTGCCCGGCCGCCCTGCTCCACGTGCGTATTAGCTCACACAAAAATCTCCAGAACCGACGATTCCTGAGCATGGTATCTTAAAAAAGGTATCACACGAATACACATACCTCCAAGCATCTCCACCGTCGCTTCGTAGTAGCCTTCTTCCCCTCCCTTCTCAGAGATCCAGAACGCTTCAAGCTTTTGTTTTGGGTTGCAGTCTTGATCATCCCTAGGCCTAAACTTCTTTATCATCGAGATCGGCATAACCAGTCGGCCACCGTCGGTAAACTTTACAAATGCGTACATCGCCCAACGGACGCCCACAACACCCGCGACGCAAAAAAAACCGAGCGTACGGGCGGTCGAGGTCCAGCCGTCCACCTCTAACGGTCGAGCAATGATGGGGACGCGGGCAAGCAACGATAAAGCAATTATGGCGACGCAGACGGTCAAACGCAGGCACGCAAGAGACGACAGAAAGCGCGCGCAAGACAGGGACTGGGCTTGGTTAGGCTGCGCCTGTATGAATAGACAAATAAACAAAATTGACTATTATTTTTATATTGGACGGTAGCTCGCGCCACCTAGGTTTTAAGAGACGAAAGCAGTTTTTTTTGGCCTCTAACTTTTTATTTTGGTTTTGGTAAGTCTTGACATTTTGGCATCTTGCTGGACCTACGTTTTACTATACTCCGTTCCACCATCAGTCCGAGCGCAGTGGACGCCACCAGCTATTCCAGCCTATCCAGCGCCGGGAGAAAATCGCGTGACCTGCCGGTTGGGCAGAGCGGCGCAGGGAGCTCAAGGTCACATGACACTCTCTCTACGCGGGATTGGCTTGGATGGCTCCTAGCGTCCGCTGCGCTCGGACTGAAGGTTAAACGGAGCATAGTTCTATTTTATTTTTCCGGTGTAAGAAACCGGGTTCCGATTGCTCACAAACACCTAGAACGTAGTCAATCCAAGTCTCATTGACTATGGTCTCCATTATCCTTTCAACAGGTGGCGCCAAGTTCTTTGTCTGTTAAGTTTTAGCTGCAATGGAAAGCTCACCGGGTGCCAAGCGTCGGAAATGTTACTTGGCAGAGAGTGAGCCTTTTGTGATGCCTAGATCAACGCAATATTTTCACAGTACAAAGGGATGCTCAGGACCCTGGAGACCCCCCTCATGACGTGCTCACCCCGTTAACTCGAGTTCCCCAAGCACTAAAATCCGCTGGGAATAATTCTGATGACGAGGACTGCCATTCCGAAGAATCCGAATTGAGCACAGATGCCGAACGCGAGCGTTCGGAATCGTTAAATGCTAGCGACGAGAACTACGATGTTCAAGACGACGTCGTGAACTCTGGTGAGGACTATGGAGATGATGATGACGAGATGAATGGAAATGACCCTGTACCACAGCCCTTGCTCGAACACCTTCTGTCGTCCTGTTTCAATCAGTTCGGGACGGAGACACTTCCCCATTCTACGACGACAAAAGCCGGCGCCATCGCCATGATAATGGCCCACGTCGTATCGCAGGGCATGACGTGGTCGGGCCTCGATTCTTTGCTCGTGCTCATCAATGCCCTGTTTGGAAGGCAAGTCGTGCCGCAAAGCAAATATGCTTTCCGCAAGCTTTGGTCAGCAACGACGAAAAACTTGGTTCGCCACTACTACCTTTGTGAGGGCTGTGGAGCAGTTCTGGAAGACGCAGAGACTGCAGCCAGCTGCTCAGTGTGCCAGCAAGGGATAGATCTGAAGGTGCTAAAAGAGAATGGATCCTACTTCGTAATGCTTGACATGACGAAGCAACTGTCCTTCGTTATTGAGAAGACCAAGGAGCTTCTTCACAACAACCTCCTGAAGCTTGCCATGGAACGTAGTACCTCATCAAGCGGAAGTGGTGTCACTGACATAACAACAGGTGAAGCCTATGATGCTCTGCGCAGAAAGACTGGGATGGGGGACAGTGATCTGTCTTTGACTTTTTACACAGACGGCAGTCCTCTCTTCGTGTCATCCAAAACGTCTGTTTGGCCTATTCAATTCACTGTGAATGAGCTCCCTCCAAGCATCCGCTTCAAGCACACCACACTAGCCGGACTTTGGTTCGGAAAAGGCCATCCAAACATGACTGCCTTCCTCGCAAAGTTTGTTGATCAAGTCAAAAGCATGACGCCCGTGATGTGGGAGCATAGCTCTGAGATGCACAGGTCCAGAGCTTATGTGCTCTGCTGCTGTGTCGACGCACCTGCGAGGGCAGCAGTTCAGAACATGGTACGTTTCAACGGCTCGTTTGGATGTCCCTGGTGCCTCATAAGTGGGGAACACCTGGAAGGTATGTATCGGTCTTCTTGCACGTGCACATTGCAGTTCAAACTAAACATTATGTTTTTCTGAGCCTACTGGGTGCAACCTCATAATATATTTTCGTTTATTTTTATTCACAGGAAGCATGCGCTACGTGCCCAAGGAACCACCGGCTCCAAGAACATCTGAGCTTGTGGTCCGAGATATGCAGCTTTCCTTGAGATTGGGGATCACCATAAATGGAATCAAGGGTCCTTCTCCGCTAATGAATCTACCAGGTGTGGCTTTTTCCCTGAATGTCGAAAGAACAGGGTCAGATTATCCAAGGTTCAAGCGATTGAAGCAAACTGTTTCACACTGAGAACAGAAAGTATTAGTCACACAAAATCTTTGTGATTTTGATTCTGTTTTCGAATAGCACAATGCTCCGCAGGTTGATCACTTAATTGTGCTAACCTCTTTGGGTTCCGACTGTACTCTGATATGTTACATCCTTACTTTCTGAGATTATGAACTACATACTTTTGTACTCTCAATGCACTGTTGATTTGCAAATGTTCAGTAGCAGATGCTCAGCGAAGATGACCACAGCCGTGCCCCCAATTTCTCCCAAGGTCTGTTAGCTGATGTTACGACGGGCTACTTGAATGCGCTGTGCATTAATTTTCTATTTTAAGTTTGCAAGCCAATACTTATTTCAGGCTGCAACAGTGGAAAAATCGGTGATCAGTGGCGCCCAACTGAAAGATGCGAAGTACTTTGCACAAGCATACTGACACAAGCGTGACACAAGTATACTCACACGTAACACTGCTGAGCCACAAGTTTTGTGGTTGCTGTGTAATCTCAAGAGTAAGACAAGACTGTTCCCTTCCTTCCCTCCTTCGCAAAGCTTGGGGAAAAATTCATAGGGCCACGGCAGAGGCAGGGCTAGCATTCTGCCTTCCTATGCTTGTAAGAGTGCCACCTCCCCCCTAATTTTTTTTTTTTCACATAAGCTTAGCCAACAGTGGTCTCTAAGAAAGATGCCGTTGAAACAGACAGTAGATGCAGTACGTACACGCAAATTTCTTCTGAAATTCACGTCCATGCTCATTTGTACGAAGCGCTAAGAAGAGCATTTTGTAATGGTTTTCGGTGGTAAAACCTGTCAATATTCTCTGATCGGCAATCGACCGTTCAATAAAATTGTACTATATTTCGGTTTCAGAGAAACCTTTTGGAACACCTAATTGATGTTTTGATTTTCCAATTCACAGAGTAGCTGACCAGCATACTTGCGGAGTTAATATACTAATATTTTTTCTTTCACCGAAAAAGCAGGAGGTACACTAAAAGATTCAATGTCATGAACTGTTACCAGCTATACTCTTGGAATTATTGAACTTGTGATTCGTCAGTTGCATGCTTTTTTGCAGTCCCTAGAGTTAGAAACTGAGAGACATGTAACATTTACTTTCAGGATTTGATCTTGTGGCCGGAGTGAGCGTCGAGTATATGCACGCCGTTCTTCAAGGAGCAGCAAAGCAGTTTACAGAACTGCTGCTTTCTTCATCCAACTCTCAAAAACGGTTCTACATAGGTACGTCGTACAGTACCAAAATGTCTCATTTCCAGTTACAAGTTGGCGCATAAGTTGCTCTTTTCATAATTTGTGGCACCTCTTCGACCTATTTTTACCTTAATGGTGTTTACCAGGCCAATTCCTGACTTGAATCTTTACATACTAGTACTATTCGCGTTTCCTGCTCGTTACTTGCCCACTGAGCAGAAGCAGGGAGTTCTCCAGTGAGGGTCCCCCCTTGTTACTAGCTCCACAGTCCGGGCAAACCTAGAGATGTTGCAAACCTCCCAAGGTTCGAGTTCGAAAGTTTGAAGATATTGAATACTTTGAACCTTGCAACCTCGGACTTTCAGTCCGAGATCGCAAGGTACAAATTTTATGGGGTCTGGGTTTCGCACAGTCTCAAATTCATCTTCATGCAATTAATAATTTTTATCAGAATATCTTCTAGGTGTAACTCTATATATAGCAGCATTTTCGTCCACTTTGAAGCTGACACAAATGCCATTAGTGGTTGCCAAGGTTTTGCCAAATCTCCAGATCTGGAAAATCAGAATTTTAGCTTAACCTTCAAGAAGATTAGGCATAGATTGGGCAAAATAGGATTGCCAGGCTGGTTGACCGATTTTGATTAGCTCTACAGCTGCTTGTCACATTTTTTAATATGTATCTAAAACTAAGTATATTTACAGATACATATAACAATCGCTAAGCAAAATATTATCGATACAGGTGTCTTTGTTAGCTGCTCCAAATTTTCAAAAAAATAGAACATGAAATAGGGTAATGTGAGCCCTGAGGCAGTGTTAGTAGCCATGGTGGCTACTAGAAAAAAAGGCGAAATTAGGTAACAATTGTTAGCGACTAACTCAAATGTTATATTAACTTTTCAGTATTTCACTTGAGTGCACCTAATATGTCTAGAGGATGTAGGCTTGACCTCAATATGCTCTAACGGTGCCATTAAATTTTGATTAAAGAATTTGTGGTAGGCACTATGGGGTCGAGAAATGTCACGGTACTGAGCATCGGACTGAAACAAAGCGGACAATCGCACCGGTAATGTCATCGCTTTGCATGACACTGCTGACGTCCCCTGTGGCGGGGCACGTGAATCGACGTTATTGCAGCCGGCTTCACTTAAACAAGCCAAGCCGGCTGCGATAGCTTCAACCCACGTGCCCGCACCGCAGCTGACATCAGCAGTGTGACACAAAGCAATGAAGTCACCGGCGCTTTTGCTCTCTTAGTTTCAACTTGGCACCGTGTACCAGGGTGACATTTCTCGGCCCTGTAGCGTTCACAAATTTTTAACGAGAATTTGACGGCACGGCTAAACCATTATAAGGTCAAGCTTAGTTCATTAGCTAACTAATTACCCAAATTTGCCTTTTTTCTAGTGGCCACCATGCCCCGGGCCCAATTTACCCTACCTCCCATTTTCTTTTTTTTTAAATTTTGTTGCAGCTAATAAAAATATTACGTATAGTAATGGTAACAGTGCCATTTTAGCATGTTTATTTACAAAACAACGTTGATTTTCTTCAAAATGGTCACGGCATTCAATTTTAGTTTGTGTTTTGCCAAATCATAGCATGGGTGCCCATCTTTGATGGCCAGAGTGCATCCAATATATGCTTTATGTTATGTCCACTGTATTTTGCTGATTGTCACTCTTTGTACTGGCACGGCGCACTGCACATGCTTGATCTATGGCTTTTGAGACCACCCACAACCACATTTGCAGAAGCTGACAAACATACAGTGCTGTCACCACTTGTTAACATGTAGCGTAAGCTTCTACGTCGCTGTGAAATGGACTTTCTGTACCACGTCGCTTTAGCCATGCCGAAACCAGATCAAACATCGAGCTGACCTGTTGTCTGATATGTGCTTGTTCCTATGTTCGCATAGTCTGCATGCATGAACAGATAGGTACAATTTTTTTCCAAAGCTTAGCCCAATCAAAACAGGTAAAACTGATTTCATTACAGCCTGGCGTTGGAGAAATTCGACTGACCTTCGAGGTTCATTGAACTTTTCAAATTGAAGAGTTTGAAAATTGTCATATTTTTTAGCGTAATGAATTTAAATGTTAGGAAGATTGATTCTCAAATTTCTCAAACCTCTTTAAACCTCAGGGTTTGACATTTCACTTTTGAACCTCGGGTTTGAGCCTCAAAATTCTGGGGAGGCGAACTTTCATGAATACATTTTCGAGTGGTTGTACTTTGTACACAGCCTCATATATGGTTATTAAAGCAAGATAAATTACTCATGTGCCCAGTCACTTATGTTGCTTACAGGAGCACCATCCTGCGTGGCACGGGTCAACAGCCGCCTCCTCCAGATCAAGCCACCACACTGTGTGACAAGGCTGCCTCGTTCACTCAACGAGCGCAGTTTCTGGAAAGCGTCAGAGTGGAGACTCTGGCTTCTGTTTTACGCTCTTCCTTGCCTCGTGGACATTCTGCCTCTGGAGTATTGGAAACATCTCTCCAAGCTCTCGCAAGCAATACACATCTTGCTACGTGAGACCATCACAGCCGACGAGATCAAGCGTGCAGGTAAGCTTCATACTTTTTTTTCTCCTATTTGCCTCATAAAGGTCTTTTTTTTATACCGTATGACAGTCTCATGGGAGTGTCAAGATCTACCCGCATTGATTAGACAGAATGTTGTGTGTAAAGTCTCAGAGCATGCAATCAGGTAACTGTGGTAGGAAATCACACCCAAAAATCATCCAATGAGCTGCACGGCATTTGAAATTTCAGTTAAAGTTATGCATTCATTTTAGAGTCTGAGATTATATCCTGTGCATGCTTATTTTTTTGTTTTCAGAAAATCTGCTGATCGACTTTGTTGGTAGCTGTGAGGCCTTGTATGGAGTGGCTTCGCTTACGTTCAACGTGCACCAGCTCCTCCACCTGCCAAACTCCGTGCGTCAGTTGGGACCACTTTGGGCTTAATCCGCATTTGTTTTCGAGGGAGGAAACGTAAAGTTGGTGAAGCTGGTCTCTGCAGCTAGAGGACTTCCGGATCAAATCGTAGAGCGAGTCGTAATGACGCAGCAGCTTGAATGCCTTCTGGCAGATAGCAACGTGGCAATCACTGCCAATGAGCGGAGTGTGTGTGAAAGATTTCTTGATTATTCACACATCCAGAATGCCTGCTATGTTGATGAAGCATGCTTGCTAGGACGTGAAAAAGCTGCCATTCTAACAGCTATCGAGGAACGTGCGCTAGAGGTCTACGGTGGGACAGGCACAGTTGGCAGCGCTTTGGAATACCAGCGTTTTGTGTACAAAAGGCAGGTGTTCCATAGCACCGCATACACAAGAGCTTCAAAGAGTGACACCACTGTAGTGTCAACTGCTGATGGGGAGTATTTCAGAATTAAGAGAATTCTCCATGTTGCTGGTCTCGGGTGCACGCTCCTTTGCAGACGGCTGGTGTTACGGGAGACACCACTCTTTCCTGAGCATATAAAGGAATGTTTTCCTTCGCAGGTAGACATCTGTAAGGTGCTGAAACCCGAGGACATTAAGGCCAACTGCCTTTTCATGGTGTTTCCGGCTGACAGCAAGTGCTTTGTGTGTGACATGCCGAACAAAATTGAGAGGGACTAAAGTTCTTTAACATGTATACAGGGCTTTTTTTCCCTCATTCTTTACAGAATTTAAAAAAGCGTGTGTTGGGTACATAGATTCCGTCTTCTCTGTGTACTTCTGGGGCTCGGCAGACATTAGATGAGTGGATAAACGTCACAATATTTTGACTAATTAATCAAAATGTGTTGATTGATGTTTTAATTAACAGTTTAATGGGCCACATACACTATCAGTTTTAAAGAGCGCAATGTCTATCTGCCATTTAAGTGATGCGACAGCTCTCTATGCTGTAGATGAGCAATTTAGCCAGTGCAGTGTAACCGCAAGACTCGGGTCTTTAATGTGCATCATGCAATAGTAATACACAAACATGTGCCAGCACGATGCTCATCCAGATCGAAATGGGTAGGGGTTGTGGATAGAACCGAAGAATATTACCGCTTGCATGTGATCGCACATACTTCATTACTTTTCTCTTTCAAACTTAAAATGCATTTGGTGGTGCATGTTTGTGCACTTTTTGGCTTGAGTTTGCTGTGCTGTGCTTGAGCAGACCTCTAAAGAGGGTAATACCTTCTTTTGCGTAATGATGCAGAGTCGTTGCATTTCATGCTTTGTCATTGTTGTACTTCACTGTCATCAACCATGTTCTATTTATGTCCTTTGCTGCTTGCTTTAGATGCTATATTCTGTCAAAATGGTTTTATTGTGTAAAGCATTGCATATTATCAAATGTACTAAAGTGGAAAGAAAAATAAAGCACTGCTGCCTGATTGCACTAAGGGATAAAGACCACTACCGGGTGGTCTGTGTGTCGGGCCCAGACTTAAATAGACCTAAAATTCGGATTTCTGAAGTACAACACTGTAATTTACCATACAAGTTCAGCTAGGTGGTGGAAATTTTATATGTGATAATATTGATGAAACTTGCTCAAATCAAAAGTTACAAATAAAAACATAAAAAGTTGCATGAGCCGACATGTGGTTCAGCCTTTTCCTCTCAAAGCTAGAAAACGTTCTGGTCCACTGGAACATTTTATGAACAAAAACGGGGAACACCAGTAAGATGAGAGCTTTTTCTTTCCCTTGCACTTTTTGTTAAATAAAACGTTTTAATGGCCTACGAGGATGCTTTTTTGGTTTCGGAATGAGTATTCTTGTGTATTCCTTCGTTAACTTTTGACTGAGCCAAGTATTTTTTGTCACATCACTAATGAAATCCACGACCTTGCGAAACTAAGGTAGTAAAGTACAGTGCCATAGTTTACAGATCTGATTTTTGCTATAGGTCTCGGACCGACATATGCTGTTATATGAAAGTATTGACGTCGGGTATCTCAAAGGATGGTAATTGACTGAGTGATTTATTTGCACTTAAATTGGTCCGTACACGGCGGTCTGCCAAGCAAAGCAGATAGGCAAAAACCCTTACGCGTGTGTGTCTGCCAGCCTGCTGCTGTGTCCGTTGGGAGTAATACTACCCAGCTTTAGAATTAAGCATTAAAATTATGATGGCGGTGATGATGGAGGTGGTGGTGATGACGATGATGTTGCTGGTGGCGGTGGCAATGGTGATGATTCAAGAGGAGAGGGTGACGGAGTGAAGATCATGATGTCTGCAGACGCGAAGGCATTCGTCTCGCAAATACCTTGCAAAGTTCCCGGGATTCATCGTGTGATGTGGGCAGAGGGCTACGAGAAGCTAATGGGATGGTCCAAAAGTCTCTAATGGCGCCGGGCAGTAGGGATTCGCTGTGACGAACAGTCCTGCCTCGAAGAAGTTCGAGCTGACCTGATCTTCTACCGAGACGCACGGCGGCCGATAGGCGAGTCCCCGAAAGAGATTCATTGAGCAATCGGCACAGCACGCAGACTCGAGAAATCTTTCGTCTCTGATCGAGGGGACGCCAGCCAAGTTTTCTGAGCCGTGCGTGGTACGGCACGTCAGTCGTGCCAGGGACCAGGCGCAAATTTTGCGGGTTGCACGGCGCTGCACGCTCTACAGTCTCTCAATTAGATGTTGTTGAGGGGGAGACCAAACTGCATGCAGAGCAGTATTCCAATGAAGGCAGGACTAAGGATGTATATTGTGCCTGCAGGACCGCTGGCCCACCTGGCCTTGCGACGCGGGTGATGAGGCCAAGCGTCCTGCAAGACTTCGCGATAGTGCCGGCAATATGTGCGGAAAAATCCAAGTTTTGGGAAAACGTGACACCTAAGATAGGCAGGTGGTCTGATGTGCGCAGTGGAGTGCCTGCTACAGTATATACAAGGCAATTGTCTGTTTTTTGCAGTTTGAGAAACGTATCACGGAACTCTTGGATGCGCTCAGGCTTAGGTGTTGTCTCGAGATCCATCTCTCTACATCTTCTAGATGGTTTTGCAAGTGACGTGCGTCAGACTGGGACGAAATTGTCATCGCGATTGATGTATCGTCTGCGTATTGCACTAGGATACACTTGTCATTGCGTGGCATGTCGTTCACAAATATGAGAAAGAGCGTCGGAGCGAGGACAGAGCCCTGTGGCACTCCTGATGACATGACCCTCTCTGTAGAGCGTGCCCCACAGTACACAACTTGTTGGCTGCGATTCTGCAGAAAGCTTGATATCCAGGTGAATAGGAAATCGTGTATGCCTGCGTGTGTAAGCTTCTCAAGCAGGAGGTTAATGTCGAGCATATCCAATGCATTGCTTAGGTCAAGTTGGATTAGATCTGTCATGGTTCGATTATTCATGTGATCACTGATAAAATGGGTAATAGTTGCGAGTGCTGATTCGCAGCTGCGACCTCTTCGAAAGCCATTCTGACTGTCGGAGAGATAGCCGGATTCTTCAACGTGGTTGAGAAGCTGGCTGTTAACTATCGTTTCAAATGTTCGACAGACAATCGAGGTGATTGACACAGGACGGTAATGTTTTGGTTCATTCGTCGGCTTCCTTTTCCCTTGTGTAGCGGAGTGACCAAAGCTCATTGCCACGTTCCTGGCACAGTACTAATGTCGAACAGCCTTTGCAGACTCTGGCAGGTGGTCGGCAGCATTAGCGGACAGAGCCTTTTGAACCACGTCGGCGTGGTTCAAAGTTCAAAGAAAGTAATGCCATTGTGAAATTGCTTTCTAAAAGTAGCCGCCTCGGTGGCTCCGAGGCGAGAGCGTCGGCCTACGGATCCCCATGTGGCGGGTTCGAATCCCGGCCGAGGTGCCCGCAATCTGACGGAGGCTTATTGTGGAGAAGACGCCGTGTAACCGAACTTTCGGTTGCACGTCAAAAGATCCTCAGGTGGTCGAAATTAATCCTCAGTCCTCCGCTGGGGCGTGCCAGATGCCCGTCGTTGGTTTGGCACGTAAAACCCCCAAATTTTTGACTTTCTAAAAGTAATGTAAATTGCAATGAATTACTTTTTGTCCAGTAGTTCTAATTGTAATTACCTTATTTCGGACAAAGGTATAGTTTTGCTTGTTTAGACCACATCTCTGGGAAGCTGGAGCAAAAGGCGGAAAACGTTGTAACTATAATTAAATTACATTTATGAAGTAATTTACCAAAGTGTGCTGCTAGGCAGATTATAAAACAACCTTTCTTCGGTATATATACACGATTTTGAATAGTTCAACTGCCTGTTAGAGGAGCTCGATTTCCAATTTGAACAGTTTGACTACCAGTTTGATCAGTTCCACCACAATGCTCTGCTACAAGTTTGAAAAACAGTTTGATTATCAGTGTAACCAGTTCAGTCACCATTTTGAACAGTTTGAATACCAGTAGGACCAGTTCTGCTACCACTTTCACCTGTCTAGCACTCAGTTTAGCCTGTTTGGCAAGTTCAGCTGCCTGTTTCCCCAGTTTGGCAAGTTTTGCTTCCCATTTGGCAAGTTCCGCTGCCTGTTTTGCAATTTTGCTTCCTTTTTGGCAAGTTTAGCAGCCTGTTTGGTCAGTTTTGTTTCTGTTTAGCCAGTTCGGGAACCTGTTTGGCAGGTTTGGCTGCCTGTTTGGCAAGTTTGTCTGCATGGTTGGCAAGTCTGGCTGCCTGTTTGGCAGGTTAAGGTGCCAGTTTGGCTTGTTAATGTTCCAATTCGGCCAGTTTGTTTTCTTATATCGCCAGTTTAATCAGTTCGATTTTCATTTTGCCCAGTTCAAATTCGGGTATGCCGGGTTGAGAATCATACTGTTTTTTTCAATAGGGTAGAATGTCCCCCGATACGATACGATTGTATGGTTCCTTCCCCGCTTGCATTGTTCAAGAAAGACTTGTGGACATCCAGCGTTTCATTGAAATGCTGGATGTCAGCGAGTCTCTACATCAGTGAGTGGTTTAAACAAGCATGATGTTTGCACACCAGTAAGCTCTTATCCG